TACCTTGCATGCTGGTTATCTTGGGTGTGACACTTCACTGCCACCTCTGTACCGTGATGATGACCCTGGCCGACGGGACAAAGGGTGTGCTGTAGCCTGTAGTCACCAGACCAGACCGGGGTTCAGCATCACAGCTTGCTCAAGTGGGAAGGCTGGAGAAGCACTGTGCCAGGCCATGCTGACTAGTGGCTGTCACGTGAGATGAGGTGCTGCCCTGGGAGACGTCAGTGGTGACTGAGGCCTGTGGTCTGTGAAGTGCTCTTGCTGGCAACACCCCTGTCTTTCCCTTGTTCTTTGGAGCAGTGGGTCCTAAAGGGACCAGGAGGAATACGTGGAGTGAGAATGGTCCAGCGCACAGGTGCGGGAGCCTCTCCAGATGCTACATGAGGGCGTGAAGCTGGGAGGGAGGGAGAGCTCACGAGCTTGCCTAGTGCTGAGCTGACCTCCCTGGCCTGTGCCACAGCACCAACCCTCTCTCTTCAAGGGCCGAACTCACATTTGGGGCCCTGATGTGCACATTTGGGCTACATGTACCAGTCTTGTCTCTACCAGAGCGTCCTACAGAGCGGGGCCAGGCTGTGTAACCTGCCTAAACCTCCCCGGTGGGTAGCGCGGGGTGGGGCCGAGGCAACTGCAGAGACAAGGCCAAGGGTTCGGAATGAGCAGGCACTGTGGGGCGACAGTGCACTGACCACGCATCTGCTGGTCTGCAGAGTACGGGGCCAGGCCAGGCATGGGGTTAGGGTGGCAGCAGGGGGTGCAGGGCAGCTGAGAAAGTCAGAAGGGCCTTCCCGCCTCTGCTCGCTGCACATGGAGCAGAGCCCTGGCCTCACATTTCCTGCTGGAAAACGGGGTGCAGCTGCTAGAACCGAGCCCCTCTCCGAGCCTCCCACTAGGTGCTCACTGTGGACGTGACAATTCCTTTTGCAGCTGGCTGGCCTTGCTGTGGCCTTTTGGCCCAAAGCTGCTGGCCACTGTCCTTTGGCCCCAGCTCTGCCCCTGCCACCCCTCCGCTGTTGATGGCACCAGGAGATAAGAAACAATGACTGAAGTGCTGTGCGCAGGAGCCGCCCAGCCAGCTGGACTCCCTGGGGCTGGGGAGGAGTGAGGAGGGCGTAGTCAGGCCTGTGAGCATGGGGTGATTTCTTGACCTAGGTCTGCCCAGCTTGGTCCATGTCCCTAGGTCCCTGCAGGAGCTGGCACTGGGGAAGGCACACCTCTCATCAGGTCTGCTTCCCTGGCAGGAGGCTTAACCCCTCCCCACTCTTAGCACTGGAATGAAAGTTCCAGCACAACTTTCTTAATATCGGAAAAAATGAACAGTAGAGGCTGCACTGGACAGTTTTGCCCAGAGAAGGCTGTAGGTATACAAGAGCCCTGCCTCTGCCGTGAACATCAGAGCCAACAATCCTAACTGGGGCCCAGCATACAGGGCAAGCCTGCTGGCCAGCTGGCATCCAGGACGGGCACAGGAGGGACCCGCTCAGCTGGTTGTGAACTGTCCGAGGCCACCTGCTTGGCACTGTTCCCGACACACCCATCATCTGTCCCCACCTCACTCCGCTCCTAACAGCCCCCATAGTGAACTGATTCCTTTTTCTCCCTTACTTGAGGCTTGAGCCACTCTCACTCCCTAAAGTTTTAAAAATCAAAGAACACATCCATTCTTTTGACTCACTCAGGAAACCTGAACAGACCCCCTATTAGCTGAATTATGGAAAACACCTCTAACGCACACTCATCTGGACCTCAGTTGTGTTGGTTTCTATTTTTCTGTATTTAGGGGATTTGTCAAAAGTTTTTTCTGGCTCACACTGGTTGAAGCCACCAAACCCCTCAATGGGACCTGGGGAAGTGTTTGAGGGGCAACTCAGCTTTTTAATGTCAGGGGCCAAGAACAACACACTTCCGTCACGCTGACACTGCCATTTTCTGAACGTGTGTCCCAAGAAGCAAGAGCCACAGTTCATTACACAGGCCAGGCTACAGATTTCTTCATCTTTCCCTACTTGCAATCACTGCGCCCCCTCCTCACAGCCCCGTGCCTTCCGCATTGCACAGATAACCAGCACACCCCACCCTGGGCGAGGGGCCGACGGAGTCCAGGAGCTGCCCCGGTCATACTTGGCCACCTGGTGAACTAAACTTTTGCTTTTGCATTCATATTTACCACAGCAGTATACAGGCTGGCAAACTTTTCCCTACCTGGCTCTCCTCCCTGACCTTGAGAAACTTCTTGACACAGAAAGGCTTTGGTATGTATTGGGGGCTGCTATGAGCAGAGGGGAGAAGCCTGAGAGAACCATGTTAAGCTTGCCCGGTGAACAAGGACAGGCGCACTGCCTGGGGCTCCTGAGAGGTGGTGGGGACAGGAGCAGAACGCTGGGGGTGAGGCAGCTGCTGACCCCACCTTGCTCCTGGCACAGCAGTAAAGAAACTGGCCTCAGACCTACTCTGGCACTTGAGCTCAGCTGTGCCTCACTTTCCCCAACAGCCTCCTTTTGTTTCTTGGGTTATACTTCTGAAACCAACCCTGAGTACCATGAGGTCCACCTGGAGAGATTATTTAGCTTGGCTGTTGGATCAGAACGCTTTTGATCAGAGGGACTGGAGCCCAGACATCCTCTTAACAAGCAACTTGGGCATGGTCCAAGGACACCACTTTGAGCAACACCATCATGGGGCTTCTGAGCGATCTTCCTGGGCCTGCAAGTGTCCAAAGCTCAGAGATGTCACTGCCCAATGGGGAGAGGAAATCTGACTACTGTACCCTCAACTTTGTCTGTTGGCCCAGTCCTGGGCCACCTCAGTGTCCCTTTAGTGACCAAGCATTGTAAGGATAGGACAGAAGTGGTGTGCATCTGGTAATCCAAGAAACGAACCGTGGGGATGTAGCTCAGTGGTAAAATACTTGCACACCATGTGCAAAATTCAATACCCAGCCGCACAGAAACAAAACCCCCCAAGGAACTCAACCCATGCGTGCTCTGAGGCAGGGGTCTACAAGCTCAACTTTCCACCTTGCAGTCAGTGCTCACCACGTTTTGTGTAGACAACAGCCGGCACCGCAGTGAGCCACTGGTTCTGAAGTCAGGCGCCTTATCCGCGTTACCTCACTCAATCCGCAGAAGCACCTCCTGAGGCTGGTACTACAGCCCTCGTTTTGGAGATGAGGATGTGGAGGCTGAGGATGTAGTCACTGAACAACAGAGCTGAGACTTGGAACCCAGGCACAAACCACACACGCTGTTTTCTGCTCCTTTGGCCCTAGTTCAGGGCTCTCATCTCTACCATCTGGTCAGCCTCTTTAAACTTGTCCCAGGTAAGATGGACAGCTCTGTGCCCTGTTCCTTCTTTACTGAAGCTAGAGCTGTTTTTGATGGGATGAGCATTTCAACTTTAAAAACTAGGCCATGGGCCAGGGAAATAGCTCAGTGGCACAGCGCATGCCTGGCAAGCACAAGGTCCTGAGTTCCACCCCCAGTACAAAACAACGAAACCAACAAACAAATGAAATGCTGCGCCATTTAAAATACTTGGGCAACTGCGGAAGCAGGACCATACTACGCTCACCACTGCAAGGCCCCTCTGTGAAGCCACCTGCCGCAAATCAACAGGTTACCTAGCTCTGTCTAGAAAGCAGCAACGAAAACAGACTAGATTAACATCACTCAAAAGGAGTAAGCCTGCTCAGAACTCTGTCCTGGGGCTGCCTCATACCGCTTCTTAGATGCCCAAAGGGGCTGGACAGCAACTGACCTTAGCATTAAGCTAAGCACACTGTAGCCCTCCCTTCAGGGCTCTCGCCTGGGTTTGCTGTCCAGGTTCCAACTTCCTCCACTTGCCACTCAGAACACCAAGCAGGTGGCTCAGTGTTTCCCGGGGGACCCAGCTAACCACTGTGTCCTTTTCTTCCAACTTGTTTACGGGCGCCAGGGAGGCCTAAACTCGGCGCTTTGCGTCCTGATATCCTGGGGAGCCAAGGACTGCTTCTTGGGACATCCTGTTCCCTGCTGGCTTGACCCACCCTGCTCCACAGGGCTTCGCCACGGTTCGGCTCCAATGCCCATCCTGGCCCAAACTGGGTGATGAATTTAACTTAAGGCCAGGCACATGAGAACCAGTAATAGAGGCAGAGAGCACGCTGACATGGAGGGCTCAACTTCTGCACGCTCCCTCAGCCTTGAATAAATGGGATCCTTGCTTCCCTAATGTAATCACCATTTCTGGGGCTTGATCATACGCTCCTTCCTCAGCCTTGAATAAATGGGATCCTTGCTTCCCTAATGTAATCACCATTTCTGGGGCTTGATCCCATCTCTTATAGAAGTATGACCCATCCATCAACCTGAATTAGCGAGTGCTATAGATTTGGCATACACTGGATCAAAGCCCAGCCCTCTCCAACATTCTGAATCAGAACTTACCTGATTTCATTTCCTCCTTTAGTCTAGGAATATGGGTGTTTCCTATCAGCCAGACCAGAAAACCAAAACTGAGCTGTATTTTAGCAGTGAGTCTGTTTCTGTTCCACATCAAATTCGTTCAGGCTGGTGTTGGGTGCACAGGCTGAGCCAGTCTGGTGCTGCTGCAGTCTTCTTGACTTCTAGTCCTTGGCAGCTCTGCTACGTCCTCCACTAAATGAACTCTCCACACTGGACACTCTTTGTCAGGAGAACCTAAACCATGATGCCGAGGCACTGATTCCCCTAAGGCTCGTTTGTTTAGCAGGAACTGGATCTAGAAATGTTAACTCCACCTTGCTGGAACCCTAAGTCTCTTCCCATTGAAGAAACTTCCACTGCTCTTTTACCCACTTCCCTCAGGCTGAGCTGAGCCCTCAAAACAGAGGGAGCAGCTCTGACTGGCTGGGAAAGAGCCCTCCACTCCTCAGGTTGCTCTTCTGCAGCCACCTTGGCCTTTGCAGGGGCAAGAAGACACCACCACCACAAAGGATAAAATAAGTTTTTATTTATAGTCTTATAGTAAAGGGAAGCCTTAACTTGCAAGACAATTCTTCAGCAGTATGTACAACATACTTTTTATTTCCATGGAATGGAATCAAACACAGACGGAGACTACAGAGTATACACTAGAAATCAGCAAATGCCAGGAACAGAGTAGGAAAGAGACAAAGAAATGAGGCCTAAACACACAATACCCCTTCACTGGGATCTGCTGACAGCAGCCAGAGCCAGGGCTGGATCACACAGTGGAGACAGGGTCCAGGACAGGAGGAAAGAAAGCGGGCTGAGAGAAGAGGGAGGGCCACACTGGGGTGTGGGTTTAGTACCAGGTAAACTGCTCTTGGTATTTACATTACAAAAATCAGTTGGCTCTATTTCTTACAAATACACATGAAAAGAAAAGGAAGATTTGATCATTACTTTATGAATCTGTCACTTTGCTATTCTGACATCATCAGAAACAGGGATGCTCACTCAGATCCAAATTTCAGTAGCAGGAAATAAATATCAAAACATCGTCACTGGCCCTCCATACAAAACCCCTACCCACCCAATGCTCCCCTACTCCCACCCCCTACCACTCCTTGGTGGCCCCGTCTCTCGTCCACATCGAAAGGGTCGCATGGCCCTCTGCACGGCTGGCTCCACAGGCCTAAACAGTGGCCGAGACAGCAGGAGTGAAACATGCCACACACTCTGCAACCTGTCCCCACTTTCCTGTACCTCACACTTCTCCGAGGACCTGGTCTCTTAACAGGAGCGATAAATAGCTTTTTAGAAAAAATCCTTACAAAGGAGAGCAGGTAATTCTGATTATTCCAAACCAGTCGCCTTCCCGAGGTAAAGCAGGTCACAGATTCAGTCTGTCAAGGAGAGGTGGACCAGCAGAGGCCACAGGGCAGGGTCCTCCAGGCACGTGCCCGGCGGGCTGGAGGAAATGGTGGGCGGGCAGAGCACCGTGTGCTCGGAGGTCCGGCCGGCCGTCTGTCCTCCTCAGAGAAAGCTGCCAAGTTGGGGTGTTTTGGTTTAAAAATCCCTGGTGAGGGCAGGGAATCCCTGAAGGGAATATGTTTTTAAAAATAGTGAAAATGGGGAAGGAGAACAAGAGCTATTTTCCAAGAGCATGTACATAAAAAATAAAAATTAAAAAAGAAAGAAAAAAATAAAGAGTCTCTTATAAGGTTCTGAGAGGGTTCTAACGACGAACTGAGAGGAGGAGACGATGGAGAAGAGACAGTTCTTATTGCTGGCCTGCCCCACACAGCTTAGCTGGCCTCCATCCGGAGTTTCTTCCTGCTCTGGGGCTCTTCAGGCTCCGACTCCGAGCTGGAGTCTGAGCCCCCATCGAAGGCAGAGATGGTGCTGCCCTTGGCGTTGGTGTAGAGGCTGTTGTCTGAGGAGGGGTAGTTGGTCTGCAGTTGGGCACTCGACCTCGCTTTCTCCAGTGCACGGACTAAAAGGCAACCAAGGGAGCACGTTACTACCATCTGGGAACCCACTGCGGCTCAGGGTCCAGCCTGTGCTTCCCAAGGGCTTGCTTGACGGCCCCCAAGGCTCAGGTGGCTCAGGAGTAACTCCCTTCTGGTGGCTGCACACTTCACTTCCCTCCCTCCTCTCCCAGATGGACCTGGGTGCCAGTAGACATGGCCTGTAACTCTGCCACGCCACCCAACCCTGAAGAGAAGGCTGTGATGTCATCCTGCACGGAAGCCCGGCATGTGGAGAGTCCGGAGCACGAGCTCCCTGTGGAATTCAGCAGTGCAATGACAGAGGAGAAGTGGCCAGGCAATGCCAGGCTCCACAGGCGTGAAGGCCACACAACAGCAGGAAAGATGACACAAGATTGAAGTGGCCAAGGAAAAATGTTGGCTTAGCTTTCACGTACAAGATCCACTTGGAATGGCAAGCTGGACACTTGGAAGCAAGTCACCAATACACATAAAATTCTTGGGCCTTTTGACAGAGAGCTCTTACATGCAGGCTGCTCGGCCCGTTCACCAACCCTCTGACGCCACCCGCTACCCAGCCCTTGGTTCAGCTCAGCTCGAGCCTGGAAGATCAACCCATTCACTTTTTAATTTTATTTGAGGTGTTCTAACCCAGGAGGTTACTTGCATTTCCTTTTACTTGCATCTTCCATGAGGGAGGAAGAGAAGTGAATTCCCCAGGAACAAAGAACTTGATCAGCTCTCGCTTTCCCCTGTGGTTGTAGGAAAAGGCGGGTGTGAGCATCGGAGAACAGCAGGGGCCTGGCCCGTAGGCTGCCCTGATTGGACTACCGTTGTCAGTGGGGAGGGCTCACTGTCCCTGAACTGGAGTCTGGTACTTACACAGCAAATTCCACTCCCAGGACCTCAAGGTTCTTTTTAATACCTGATGCCAGGTGTGATGCCTACCGCAGGCAGAGCACCTGAGCCCCAAGAAAGGGAGAGAGCAGGCCAGAAAAGATATAAGCCTCCATCTGTCCAAGGCCCTAGCCTCACTGTCTCCTCATGGGCGGCTCAGGTCCTTCCTTGGCTCGGCTCTAACACCAACTGTGCAGGCCTGGGATGTGGCCGAGGCTGCTGCTCAAGCTCGCTCCTGGAGTGGCTGACTGCAGGGCCAGGTGTGAAGCCTGGGCCCAGCGGGAGCACGGCAGGGCCAGTTGCCCCACAAGCTCAGACGCTCACCTTGTTGCTCCAGTAGAGCATTCTGCCGCTTGAGGTCATCGATATCTTGCTGGTGTGTGTGGTTTTTCCTTCGCATGTACTGGATATATTCTGTGGCTTTGTCTAGGATTTGGGCCCGGGATGCCTGTTGCAATATGAGAAAAAGCACAGGGGACAAAATAAAGACCGAGTCCAGGCAGTGAGGAAACCATGCCTTTCCACAGCAACAGCACAGGGGGCTGGAAACAGGAGGGTGAGGTGGGAAAAGGTCGAGGAGAGTCATGACCAGTTACAGCCTTTCTGCCAGACAAGGTGCCATGTGCTTCACAGAGCTTACCTCGCTTAGTCTCAGAAGCGCCACCAGGAGCCATGGCTCAAGGAAGTGCACTGGCTCATTCAAAACCACCTGCTACAGTGGCAGCGCCTGGGCTCAGACTCGGGTCCATCTGACTCCTGAACTTGTCCTCCTCCCATCTCCTCTGGTTCTTTAGGTTGCTTTAAAGTCTTCAGCGTGGCTATGTCTGAACCATCAAAATACTACTTAAACGAAAGCTCAGGCCACTCACTCTCTGCTAGGGCCTGGCTACAGGCTGCTGGCTCAGAATGACAAGAATGAGATCTTGACTGATCTGGGTTGGGATGAAAGTGGGCATGGGGTTTTCCACCAATGTCTGCAAAGTGCAGCTGTCAAATCTTCCTCATGGAACCATGCTGCTACACCACTGTTCTGCCTTCCTGGCTGAAGCAGCTTTGCTGAAACCTGCCAGTGCTTGATGTCAACACAGGAAGGACATGAGATTGAGCCACCTCAGGAAAGAACCACACCTCCATAATGGCCACGGGCAACCTGGGCACTTGCCCTGTCACAAGAACAAAGCCAATAAAAACGGTTGTCAAGCTATCGTACGCCTGGAAGTCAAACTTGTCTGGGAGATCCCCTCAACTGCATGCACACCAGGGTTACTTACAGCCAGATAGCTAGCCAGCCAAGCTGTGAGAGTAGTACAAGGCCAAGAAAAGCTGCAGGCTGAAGTATGGCAATTTTGTCATGAGGGCTCCTGAGCAGCAGGCAAGCTTCTTACTTACAGACGGGTAGCTTTTGACAGTTTTCTACACCATTCAGTGGTTTTAACTAGACAGAACATGACATAGGGGGAGCAGGGAGGCAAAGATAACACCCACAATCAGACTAGCAAAATTAATCTTGAAAAAAAAAAAACCCTAAAAATTTCAATTTTTTCCTCTCATGGTACCTTTTAAGGCAATCTCCTTAGAAAGAAATCATTCATATTGAATCATTTATCAGGTGGGAATCACGTGCAAGGTACTGGGCCGATGTGATGGGGAAATGTATCAGTCCTGGTTGCTTTGCCCAGAAGTTTACTTAAATGTTATTTACACAGACGAATCCTAGGCAGCACGGACAAGTATAACCTGACCAGCACAGATGACGAAGGCCACAGGAAGGTGGCTTCTGCACACTGTGCGCCAGGCACTGGCCTTGGTGCTGCCACACACACACTCCACCCCCTGCCTCAGGCCGGTGGGAGCTGTGCAGAAAGGTCATGCTGGGCAGGGAAGAGCGGAGAGGAAGACGAAGGCACTCCAGAGGTGATATCCCATTTTTGCAGGAGGGGTCTTCTAGGGCCTAGTTATCAGATAAAATGAGGGCAAAGAGGCCATAATTAAGAGGGACTCTGCCTCTCTGGATATTGGAGATGGAATTACACTGTCTGCCAGTGTGGGGCAGCCTGGGGACTAAGGAGTGTTCCTCACATCACTGCGTGGCTTGGGGTCAGCACACACATTCCTCTCCGTGGCTGCTCCTTATCTGCTGAAATTCAGGAGTTCCACCCAGTCCTCCACACTTTACCTTCTCCATCACTGATACAAGTTGCTATGCATAGTTACACCCCAATTTCTCTTTAAACTTATTTCAAAGCTGTTTTCTTAACTAACAGTTCCCCAAAGGCAACATTAGGTCTTATTTAAGTACTGGGTGCATCTGGAATAAGCGAAGAAAGGCACAATCTCTGAAACCAGAGTGCTTGCAGATGCTCAGTGATGCCCACTAATGGATAACAGACTGCAGGGCGACTCTCATACACTCAAAGCCATGCAGTGAAAAGTGAGCGGGGAGCACAGCGAAACAAGACAGCAGAGGGGAAAAGATCCCACGAATACTTCAGGATAATTTTTGGATGTTCATGAAATCCATAATGCTCTGGCTGGGTGCAGCTGTGCACACTTTGGAAGATTTCTCGAGCCTAAGTTCAAGACTAGCCCTAGTGACAGTGAGATCGAGCCTCAAATAAGCCAAGCGGAGTAGCACACACTTGTAATCCCAGCTACTCTTGAGGCTGAGGGAGGAGGATGAAAAATTTGAGACCAGCCTGAGTAACCTGGTGAGACAGTCTCATAAGAAACAGAAAGAGAGAAAGAAAAAGACAGACAGACAGAAGCTGTAGCTTAATGGTAGAGCCTTTGCCTAGCATACATGAGGCCCTAAAGAAATTTAATCCACCACACTGCAAAAACAAAATTCATAGATGCTCAAACAGAGTGCCTTGGGAGCCAGAGGTTCTCAATGAAGGCTGGATTGGTTTAGGCCAGCCACAAGGCCCCCAAAATGCTAAGCACAGCTCTTCTTCCAGGCCCTAATGAAAGTACTGCCCTAGGTCGCTTGGGGTACCCCATCCCCTCAGCAAATTCAAAAGAATGGTTCGGAGTTAACTTTGTTCTTCCCAAGATATGAAACAAAAAGATTAAGAAGCATGAAATACAGAATGTTCCAAAATCTGCATCCGACCCAGGAAAGAAGGTTGAAGCTAGAAAATGCTACGTTAATCTAAAATCTCTTCCTCTCATCTTTCCAAACCACACAGGTTCATGTGCCCAGTCATGGAGATAAGCTGTGGGCAGCCCCCTCCTTGTCTTTATGGGTTTATAACATGTGTGCAGTAAACACGAAGCCAGCAAGAAACCCTGGGATTCATAGCAGGGACTAGGAAGCTGCTGCAGCTTTCGGTTTGCTTCTCTCTCAGACGAGTCAACTGACAATACTCACCCTTGTGTGCTGACCACAGAGGCACACTCTCTAGGGGTCTCAATGATTCTGTCCTGCTCATTTTTATAGTTAGAAGGCACTGCTTCTGTTTCTGCTGAACAGTGTGGACAGCGGCTGAAGGAACTAAGCACAGAAGCCAGGACTGTAAGCTGGGTCCCTTACAAAAGTGTGCGTCAAGCTGTTCTTTCCAGTCTGGGAGGCACACAAAAGACTGCTGGGCACCCTTGCCAGGTCTCGTTCCAAACATATGCTCGCTTCTAGCAATGGAAATGATGCAGGCAGGTGTTGTCATGCAGACCTGTAATCTCAGCTACTCAGGAGCCCTTGGCAGGAAGGTCACAAGTTCAAGTTCTGCCTCCACAATTTAGTGAGACTCATCTCAAAAACTTCAAAAAATATAAAGAAGGGCTGGGGATATTGCTCAGTGGTTACGTGGTATGCGTGAGGTTTGGGGGTTAATCCTCAGTACCATGGGGGAAAGAAAACAAGATACAATAACGGTAGCAACTAAGACCCAACTGAGTACTTACTAAGGGCCAGGCACCCTCACACAACCTTCCGGTATCATTCCCTCCCCCCACACTTTTTTGGTACCAGGGATCAAACTTGGGACCTTGCTATTTTCTCTATTTTAAAAATGAGAAAACCAAGGCTCAGAGTTATAACTACCTCAGTGTTGTATGACTAGTAGAAAGTAGAGTAGAATTTGAACCCAGCCCTCCAGGATACCCACATTTTGGGAATTCAGGGTGACTAGAGAACTAATATAAAAAGATCAACAGAGGGATTATAATCATCCAGAGTGCTGCCCCATGATGAATTTTTCTTATTAAACTATGACACTTATCAAAATCAAACAACAAATTAACAGAATTGCAGGGACAGTGTTGTCATAAGGACCGGAGAAAGTTATAGATTTATCTTGAATGGTGTTAATGAAAACATTAGTGTAGAGCTTTCCTTGGAGGAGCTGAGAGGAGTCCATAGTAAACTTGCTCCCCAAGGTGTAGGCTGAGTCCACAGAGAAGCAATGTTGCAGACCAGTCTGTAGAATCTGGCTGAAAAGAAGTGAAAACAGGATCTTGTAATAACAGCACTGAAGGAAGATTATTTTTCTTCATCCTTTTAAAGACCGGTGAGAACCAAATAGGTTCCTAGCAAAGAAAATAGGTGTAAAGGAAAAGCCTAAAGATCCTAGATAATCAAAGGACTTACCTGACCCAGGCGTGGGAGGAGAAATATCAGCCCCACAGCACTGCCAGCTTTGTGGCCTCTTGGTAGCCAGGAGAGCAAAAACAAATCTTTAGTGAAGACCCAGGGTTTGGCAGTGGAGCCTGCAGGTCCCTGCCCCTTTATCTGGTAGTGGCTGCTTAGACTGGAGGCTCAGCCCATGCTCTGGAGGCCCCACTTCCTCAGCACACAGCTTCGAACTGTCCAGAGTCAGAGCAAGAATCAACTACTTATTTTACAAAAGGCTCCACCTCAAAAGAGAGTTCAGTTCTAACTGGAAACTTTTTTTGAGATGAGGCCTCCCTATGTAGCTCAGGCTGGCTTTAAACTTGCAGCAATTCTTCCGCCTCAGCCTCTTCTGTGCTGAGATTACAGGCACATGCACCACTATACCCCGCCTAATCAGACACTTTTAAGTCCCAAATTATTATTATTATTACTTTCTTTTTTTTGGTTTTTTGAGACGGGGTCTCACTATGTAGTTGAGACTGACCTGGAACTCACTATGTAGCTCATACTGGTCTCGGACTCACAGCATCCTTCTGCCTCACTCAGCCTCCTGAGTGTTGGGATTACAGGCGTGAGCCACCATGCCCAGCAATCCCAAACTATTACTGAAGTCATTAACACTGATGCTTAGGATCAAGTCCAAGGTCATTAAATTCTAAACTTAAAGCAGTGGTTCTCAGAAGTTTTCACTGACAAATTGTTACAGACAGAGGTCTCGGTTTGGGTAGAAAGCCAGATTGGAGGGTGAAGAGGTGAAGCAGAGAAATACTCACAGTTAACACAAGGAGCACCACTCTCCTCCTGAGGGCCAATGCTGACTGAGAAAAAGGAACCTTAGCTGCACTGATCGTTTCCCCTTCACTGTCAAAAAACGGGTCCTACTGGACCTATCTTTCAGCTGCTTCGCTCTCCAGAGAACAAAAACGCCCCATCTGAAGGAATGGAAAAAGAACTGCCTGACTCACCAACTCATGTTCTACTTTGCCCTAGTTTTTTGTTTGTTTGTTTGTTCTATTTTGTTTTTTGGGAGACAGGGTCTTGCTATGCAATTCAGGCTGGTCTTGAATTCACTATGTAGCCCAGGCTGGCCTCGAGCTCACAGGGATCCTCCTGCTTCAGCCTACAGGAATGCTGGGATTATAGGAGAATGCCACCACACCTGGCTGCACTAGTTATTTTAAAGAAAATAAACTTTTTTATTTTGTGAAACCTACACAAACTTTCACATACACTAAGGTAAACAAGTGGAGGGATGGACAACAATAAACCACATTCCGAAAACAAAAGTTAACAAACTACACAATAAATTTGGGTCCCTATTAAACTAGCTCATTAGAAAATGGGCTCCATCAATGTCAACCAGGAAGGACAGAAAGCTGTGAGGCCCTTTGAATGTGTTCTACTCTTAGGCCTGCCAGTCCTGGATGCGAGACCATTCTGCAGACTTGTATTTTGGGACAGGGCCTCACTTAGCTGCCCAGGCTGGGCTTGAATTTGTGATCCTCCTCCTGCCTTAGCCTCCCAGAGTGCTGAGATTACAGCATTCAAAGCCAGGCCACGTGAAATTTTGTATTTTTTTTCTTGTACTGTACAGCCTGAAACAAAGGTATGGCGCTTCGCCATCAAACTGTGATGATGCAGGAAGGGAGCACACAGTTCCTCAGAGTGGAAAGAGCTGGTAAATAAACATGGAAAAGCATTTCTCACAGATAATAAAATACAAGAGCAATGACTATCTTTTGCCTATTGCATTCATTGTCCTGTCAAAAAACCTCAGTTATGGTGAAAACGTGACTTTCAAAATACTACCAAATGACTGTCTAGAATTTGCTTGAGAAAGAAATGAAAGAATGAGGACATGAAAATAATCCTCCTGAAAATCATCTTAGCAACACACAGCAAAAAGTCACACTCAGACCCTTGACCCAGATCCAGCTCCCGGGATTTCTGTCTATGGAAAAGGCCCATGCAGCGCGATGTTCATAACAATATTATTTATAAAATTTAAATTTGGATACAACCCAAAGCCATCAACAAAAACAGCTTGATTAATTAAATATAAATGCTACACTGCTTGGAGCCAGGCATGGTGGTGCATGCCTATAATCCCAGCACTTGGGAGGCTGAGGCAGGAGGAGTGCCACAGGTTTGAGGCCAGCCTGGGCTACATAGTGACACCTGTCTCACACCACGCTCCCCAAGCTTCACTGCTTGGGAAAAGCATGATATCATGAAAAAGCAGAAAGCTACGGGAAGTGTGCATATGAAGAGATCAAAAGGAGTATGAGAATATATTTCCTCGCCTCTTAGACTATCAGTAATTCCACGGGTTAAATATTAATATTAGCTTTTTTGGAGAAAAAGGAGGCAAGTTTTGTTTCAACATCCACTTTAAGGGAGTGCTCAATTTCAGTCACAATGAAGTGGAAGGTTAAGTGGGGGACTGTATCTTACAGCTGCAATATGTACTAGCCATGTGTCTAATAAGCACTTCATTAAAAAAAACTGGGGGGAGGGGGTGTTGAGACAGGGTCTTGCTGTGCACTCCAGGCTGGCCTCAAACTCACAGCACTCCTCCCGCCTCAGCTTCCCAAGTGCTGGGATTACAGGCCTACTAACAAGCATTTGAAACGTGACTACTCTGAACTGAGATGTGCTTTAAGTATATACTACACAACAGTTTCTTTTGTTTGATTTTTGAGACAGGGTCTTGCATGTAGTAGAGGACAGCCTTAAACTTGTGATCCTCTTGCCTCCGCTTTCCAAATGCTGGGATCACAGGTGTGTGCAGCCTCAAACCAGGTTATTAAGACTTACTGTCAAAATAATTTCAAATTGAAGTCATATTTACTTTTAAATATTTAATTACTATTAAAATTAATTTCACCTGTTACTTTTAATTTTTTTACTGTCTTGTAGAAAGTTTAATTGTATTTAAACTAGAGGGAGAAAGGAAGGATGTGACAAGAAAAAAGTGAAAGTAGAAGGAAAAAAACAGAAACAAAGCTTTTGTATGTAGGGAGGGGGAGTGTGAGGGGAGATGGGATAAAATAAAAGATACAATTAAAAAAACTAATAAATTATGTAAAAATTGGGCTGTGCTTGTAAAAGGATTTTAGGACAAAGGGAGATTACAGCAGTGTTAAAGGAACAGGCAAGGGGAGCTTGATTTTTCTTCCCATTTTCTGGAGTTTGTACAACTCTATTCCCAGACAAAATAGAAAAAAAGAAATGCTAAAGCAAAGGCCCAGTAATCACTCCGTATCATTCCAAATTCCCAAGATGCGAAAGAGATTAAGTATAGTCTCCTTCCTGTCTGGTCCTCCTGGGAGGAGGATGATTCAGGAGAGGTGTCTGCCTTTTGGAAAAATCACCTTCCATGAAGCCGTAAGGTACAGAAGGTCCACAAAAGGCCACTAGCACTACAAGGACCATGCGCGCCCTGGCGGGAAGTGTCTGAAATGAGCCTTGAGGGAGGAGGTGGAGGGCCAGTGGGGAGAAGGGGAGACAAGGCAGGAGCCAGGACAGGGGACTTGAGTGGCTCTCTTCAATTTCAGACCCAGATACATTTGGGCAAAAAGGTCAGAGTTGGATCTTGAGGACAGCACTCAGATAACCCTAAAGTAACATTCCTGGGAGATTGGGGAAGGAAAGAGCCTTCCAAAATTAATTACAGGAGAGTAGAAAAAATGGGCAGGTAAGCTGGGTTCCTTAGAGAACATGGAATTTGGGCAATGAAAAACCTTTGGAGATTTTTGGCAAGAAACACATACAGTTTATAAGGAATGAAATAAATACATTTACAGTTACAGAACCTACAGCATAAGAAGACTTAGCAGCCATAAGCGACAATTTAAGAAGATGGTAATTGCCACAGGTGAAGTTTGGACAGGTAGTAACCAGAGTAATAAGGCAAAACAGAAAGGGCTATAGTTTATATTTCATTTCAAAGACAATCACTCTAGGAGCCCAGATATGACATAGACAGTGTTGCTGAATAAATTTCCACAGGAAGGAACCATCTCCCCATAATAAAGTGGCCAGAGTAAACACGGAGCTTACCTCAGTTTAATAAATATTCACTGTGTTCCCTACAGTGTGCCAGGCACTGAAGGAAGAAAATAACAGCGGGAAACACGTTCCCCGCCTTCATGGTAATTCTACATAAAATTATACCAGTGTCACTTGTAACGCTAAGCCTTTGACCTTAAGAATGATCACATTCTAGCTGGGCATGGTGGTGAAAGCCTATAATTCCAACACGCAGGAGCCAAGGCAGGAGGGTTACTGAGTTTGAGGCTAGCCTGGGCTACACAGTGAGTTCAAGGCCAGCCTGAACTGGACTACATAGAGAAACCCTGCCTAAAACTGGACTACATAGTGAGACCTTGCCTAAAAACAAACAAAAAAACCAAAACAAAACAAAACTAGAATGATCGAATGATCACATTCTAGCTAGGACAGGTGGTACATGCCTGTAATCACAGCACCCTTGGGAGGCTGAGGCAAGAGGATCCCAAGTCTGAATTCCACCTTGGCAACTTAGCAAGACCCTAACACTATTTGGAAGGAGCCTTATTATATTATCTAAGGAAATTATTTGCTTTCAGCATTCAACAGTGAATAGAATCAGACTTCAATGGAAATGAAACCAAGATTCACTCAGTATTTTAACCTCCATTTGATGCTTATTATTGTTAATTATTAGGTTCAATCCTCTTTCCTAGCAAGAGAGCAAGACCCTCAAGAGTAAACACCATGTATTAGGCCCTTAAACCTTTGGTATCATGAATACCTAACTTACAAAGGGAGCTGACCTGGCTGTTACTGTTTTGTCCTCAAAGGGCTGAGCAAGCCACTGTTACTTCCTCTTTGCTACTATGGACTGAGAGCCCGCCACATACCAGTGTCTGCAATGGGACTTACCACGGAAGTGCCCTCAGCAGTCCCACACCAGAACCCAGACAATCGGACTAACACCGACTAGATGAAATCCTGCTTTTCTTTATTTTCACCTGTGGCTTATATTCTATTTTCTACATAGCTCCATCCAGCAAGGAAATATCCAGAGCACAACTGTTCCATGAAAGCAATATGCATGATAAACAGGCATTTAGGAAGAGACTTTAAAGATGAGAAATCACTGTAAACTGCTGTTTAGCTACAAATAGCAATGGAGAAAATAATTCTATTGCTAATGCTAACATAAACATTTTGGATGGGTACTGGGCCTAACTTATGGGATGGACAGAATTATACCTCTACATAAAAGCAAACTGACAAGATGACTACCAAGTCTCACCACCCACACAAACACACAACTCAAGAGCCAGTAAACCATTAACATTCCCTATAGAGCCTAATTAAAGACCCTTAAAATAGACAATAATGTTACTTTCTCCCTATTAAAAAAATCACACCAAAGTAGATCTTACCCTCTGGTTGGCTACCTGATGGCTCTAATTCATTCCCATCTCTCCCAGTAGGCTCTATATCCAGCTGAAAACTTCAGGAGACACAAACTCAAAACAATAGAGCTTAATGGTCCACTTGCTAACTCTGGGACCAAACGCAAAAATCCAAATGGACCATCAGCTCTAATGATATCTTCTAGGGATTAGTGCAGCTATATGGACTCAGCGTTTACAGACTTTAAATGACTTTCAACCTGCCCTACAGGATTACCCACATATGCCACTCTGTAGTGTTTTCATAGTGGCCCTAGTATAAGGTAATGCCAAGATTAATGGCTCAACCTTGGGGAGGCTCCAAAGATAATGACAAGATACAATCAAGGTTTCTTTAAATATCCTTACATTGTCTTGTGGTGTGGTGGAAAGACAGAACTTGGCAGCTATAGCCCCAAGTTCTAGTGTACCTTGCTACAGACTGGGCCATGATTGTGTGCTGTTTCCTTATCTCTAACAATTCCATCATCAGGAGCAGCAGCAGCAATTATCCAAATATACTATAGTATACTTCAAAGAACTGCTGTGTGGATTTTAGTTTATACTGAAATACAGGTGTTAGGTGCAAAAAGTGAGCATTCTTTAATGTTTATATTAGAATTATAGCAAATAAAGGACAAATGAAGTTTGGATTTCACATTCAAAGTTGCTAATTAGGCATGGTGATACACGCCTGTAAACCCAGCAGTAAGGCGGCCGAGGCAAAAGGATTGCCTTGAATTTGAGGCCAGCCTGAACTACAAAGGAAAACCCTGCCTAAAAAAAAAAAAAAAAAAGTTTCTTGCTTTCATTTTTCTTGGTTAGAATCCTCTACCCTTGGTTAGGACCAAATTCAATCAATAGTGATTTCTCTCTGAAGAACAAAAAGGCTTAGGACACCTATGATCCAACCTGGAACATAGAGATGCTCAAATCAAGAGTCTGGAACATGAATGAAAAGACTCAATCAAAGGTTCTCCCTTCAAGAATCTGAGCTAAGCTCCCTAAAACTCACAATGGTAAAATAATCATTTCCTAACTCTTTACACAATGTCACTACCTTAATTAGTGCAATCCAGATCAAGAATGAGTCAATTTCCTTTGGTTCACACACATTTTTTAAAAACTGCAACATGTAGCTGTAATGCAAGCCGGAGAGACTAAGACTTCCTTTAGACTCACTTCACTTGTGAAATTGCTGGCATATGATGAAGGGGTTAGGCTTGACCGAAGTTAACAGCATACAGGACAGGGGATCTGAAATTACAACGGCATTTAAAACATTCTCAGACTCAGGACCGTGTTTCCTCCACTGGCCCAAGAAGGCTCCTGGTCCCTGCCTCAGGGATTCTATCCCACTTGCCTTCCCCAGCCTGAGTCACTCATCACTAGTGGGATGCACGATTCCTTCCTTCACTTTCTTTGACTCTGCTCAAATGCCACCTTGCCAGTGAGACTTTTCTTTTTTGCCCTAACTAAAAACTGGACCCCTTCCTTCCTAGTTTAATTTTCTTTCATAGCTCTTATCTGACATACTATGTGAATACATACACACACACACACGTGTATATATACACTTATATATACTGCTTTTTCTTTTACATCCTGAATTTTTTTTGTTTTGTTTTTTGAGAGTGTCTCACTATGTAGTTGAGACTGACCCGAAACTTGCTATGTAGCCCAGTCTAGTCTCAAACTCACAGCGATCCTCCTGCCTCGGCCCCCCGAGTGCTGGGATTACAGGCCTGTGCCACAACGCCTGGCTCCTGAGCACATTTTTTATTTTTTAAAACGAGGTCTCTCTAGGTTGTTCAGACTAGGCTCAAAACTGTGAATCTCCAACCTCAGCCTCAAAGGCATGTACTGCCATGCCTGGCCATACTTTCATTACTCATTTTCTATCATCTCATCAGAATAAGAGCTCTTTTCCCCCCAGCTGCTGCATTCCCAGTATCTAGGTCAGTGCTGAGCACGTAACAGACCTCAGGAATCATTATGGACTAAGTAAAAAGGCCACCACAAATGAAACTATTCCATTTGTAAGGCTACAAAGTCAAGCCTTCAGCTTTCCTTTTTTTTTTTTTGGTACTGGGGATCAAACTCAGGCCCTTGCACTTGTAAAACAGGCAGCAGAACCACTGAGCCAAATCCTGGGCCCTTCAACTTTCTTAAAGCAAAGCAACAACAGGATTTAGGATAATGAGATTACAAGTACTTAAGGATGAATGCTATGGCAATGTAAAAATAGTCTAGATAAGGAAGAAAAATAGCCATAGCCTGTGACCTAACTCTTTTACAGTGTTCTCAAACTTAAGAATGCCTGACTGTTGGTCACAGGTGCCCAGCTTGTCTCCAGGAAGATGGTTTGGCAGTTATTCCGATGTAGGTGGTCCACAGCTCATCCCTTGAGGAGCTCCGCTGTGGCACCACTCCTGGTTAGATGTGAGATCAGGTTAACTGATACCATGATACAGGCATAAGCACTGACTGTAGCTCAGATAAGCACAGGACAATCTTTTGCAAATGTGTACTTTAAAAGGGTGAGTCTCCCCAGCCACAGAAGTTTCTTGTGGTACTTGCATGTTAGGCCAACTAAGTACTTTGGTTCAAGACCATTAAATCAAATTCATACTAAATAGGCTTAACCTGTGGCAAATACTAGGCATTCGTTTTTCATAAAGGTCAGACCTACCTAACCCATTCTTTAGTCACACATAAAGCCACACTTTAAAGTACAAAGCACACTTACCAAAATATAAACAAAATAAATCATAATGGCTCTAAATTTAATTTTGGATAAACAACCCAGGACCCCTACCAGAGTTAAATCAGGGGAGTTACTCAAAAGTATGCCTACGGGGTGGGAGAGTATGCCTATGATCAAACAAAAGAATAGCTGTTTCTTTTCATTTTCTATTTTTAAAAATAATTTTGTGTGTGCTTCTGAAGAGCAAACCCAGGGCTTACAGGTGCTAAGCAGGCACTCTACTACTGAGCTTTGCCCCAGCCCCAAAAAGCTGTCTGGATAAACACTGGGTCACTGACCCTCAAAATACATAGCATTTCTTCCCAGTTTGCCACTTAGTTCACTGAAAGGTTACAGAGTAGCCAGCTACACACCTGTCAAGGATGGAACTGTGCAAACAGATTTGTTCCCCAATTTTCCAGGAATGAACCTAACTCACAAGCTTTTATTCAGTTTTTTGAATGTAGAAACAGCTGACACCAATGCTCCAAGGAAAACGCTAGTTTGTGAAGGCCACCAGTGCAGAGGCAAAGGAGACGCTGTGGTCATTTTTTTCCTTCTACTTCAAAGGAACGTGTCTCTTTACTCAAATACTTTGTTCCAAAACTTAAAATGCTCTTTAGATACCCTGGAAAGAATGGCTAGAGCTGGAAAGTGACTGATGCCCAGGTGGGTTTACAGAATGCCCAGAAGCCTTTATTTACAGTTAGTACTGAACTCTAAACTGAATAAAAGAAATTCTCATGGCAATCTAGGGAATCACTGACTTTGAGAATCTTCAGTGAGATGCCAAATTATGGGCTACTCCCTATACTACAGTGTACAATCACAACAATGTCTTTTTTTTTTCTTTTTTTTACAACAATGTCTTGATCAATGCACTCTGTATACCAATTTTTAAAAACATTCCTACCAATGTCTTAACAAAGAGCTCCAATACATCTGACCTATTTTTGCCATGAATAAAGAAAAGCAAATAAGCTGTGTGATGATTCCAGAGAATCATAAAATAAGGGAATCATTTCATCCGATTACCCCGATTGTACTTCTTTCCAGACAGGTGTCCTGCTAAGCTCCATAACAAGTTCCAAGCCAGTACTGCCCCAAGTGGCTTCCTCCATAAACTCACCTTTTCTCCTTGGAGTGATGGGACTGAGTCCCGCAAACTGTGGAAGCTGTCTTTGATGTGGTCCCTACGTTTTCGTTCCAGTGCATTATGATGAGCCCGTTTGTCAGCCTAGAAGAATGGGAGAAAGTGTACATTAGGAATGTCATCCCTTTGGCTTGGTCCCAGGTAGGTGGAGTAAGCCTGGAAGGATATGCTGTCAGCGCTGTCCCTGCTGAGTGGACTGGGAAGACTGTTGAGGTGGGCAGTTAGGAGTCTCCAGAATTAGGCTCTGCTAAAGGGGGGAGAAAGGGGTGAGCAAAGCTTGTGACAGGAACATCCAAAGTAGCTCGATGCATCCAGCTCATGCATAAGTAAAATCAAAAGTTATTCATGGGACAAAACGTGACCCTCCTGTAATATCAGTGTCCCCAACTTAATTGTGTAACAGCTGCCAGTCCGTGATTGGGACATGATTAGAAAAAGCTCCAGTGAGCCTCTTCCTAAGATGTGATCACCCTTACTGTAGGAGACTGGGAGGAGCGGGAGGGTTGAGTCACTGGTACAATGCTTTTCTCCACGTAAAAGCCATTGGTGGTGTACTCGTCTCCACGTCCACTAAAAGGCACTACTTTCATCCTCTCATCAAATCATATAAGAGAAACCGAAACCTCTGGAAAACCCAGGTGCATGAATCTGAGATCATTATGACAATTCTGACAGAGATGCCAACTGCATTTGGAGTTCCTGTTTTTTTACAGCAGATCCTAGATGTTACCCTGCCAAGGGCTTTCCCTGAGGCTGAGCCAGAAAGGCACTTCTTAGATGGGGGCCTTCTGACACCTACACACACTGACTAGTCCCTCAGGCACTGCCGCATATCAGGTTACTTTGCCAGTTTTAAAAAATACCCAAATAAAATAAAATACCCAAAGCCAAAATCTTTAGCCTGTTAGAATCACAAAGAACAGCCAGCTGAAGAGGGAGAAGATTGCCAACAAGTCAGGAATGGCACAGCAGCACTTCCCCCAAAGACACTGCTGGGCAGCGCCACAAAGATTCTACCGTCCCCATTAAAAAAAGGACATCTCTAAATTCAACACAAACCCAAAGCAAAAACTTCACCACACTTGCACTCTGGAAAGTATGGAAAATAAATAGAGAATGTATCTTGAATACACCAGGCTGCAATGAACTAGTCTGAAGAATAAATCTGTGTATGACAAAGCAGTGGCTTTAATCAATCTTCCCAGACATCATACCAGGAATCTTAAAAAGACGAAGCAAATGAGATCAAACGACTTGGTTTATCATAAGAACAACACTGTCTCCAATGAATCCTTGTACTAGACAAGTTATACAGACAAAAATCTAAAAAGACAAGTTATGAGAATGAGAAAATTTGAAATTCCCATATCTAACCCTAAAAGTCCAAGTCATCCCAGAGGAAAAGGAGGCTAGAAACAGCTATTTTAATCATTACCAGGTCTTCAAGCACACACTCAATCTACAGCTTTGCTCAGCGGGCAAGAGATTCCTGTCATGGACATGGTCCTCCAGAGAATGTCACTCTTTTGGGAACAGAAGCCAGGTAAAGCTCTAAAGCTGTCCCATCTAAAGTTTAAATTCGCTGTATAATGAGTATTTTCTGAACTATTTTGATGCATGTATTAGTATGCGGAAACAGGACAGGAGGGCTGTCAAGCTTGGAACCTGAAGATAACAGATTCCCGCCCAATTTGAACCACTTATGCATGGTTATATGCATGACTGTGCCATCAGGCAGCTTCTTGTACCACTGGTGATACAAATGTTTCTAATCACTTCTATCAGTCTTTTTACTAATACAATCACTAAAAAGACACCTGATGGGATGGTCATTCATGTAGAACCAGTGGTTCAAGCCACCTGGCATTAAGACATACTTACTGATTACAGCCCCGTCATAAACTTGTTAAAAGTACCATTACAACACACAGCAAAAAAACCTGCAGATGTCTTATGACAGCAGTATGAAACAGCTCGAAGAAGTTCTAACTTACTGCTCCACGTTGTCATCTATCAAACACAAACTGGAACTATACCTAAGGAAATTAGAAGGTTAAAGGCTAACACTTGGCCATATCCGTCTCTCCAGTGTCTGCTATATACTTTTCAAGATGGTCTATTTACATGCAAATTAATCATCCAGCTTTGGTCTCCAGCAGCAGTCCATGATACTCCCATCTACTAAACCACCCTGATTCCTGGCTCTCCTCCCAGCTTAAGAGCTGTGCACAGAAGCAGTGACACCAGAATTAACTACAATCCCTCCCAATGATACAAATAAAATTCTATTATTTTTTTAATCTGGGAGAGCCCCACAAATCTCAAATGGCTAGAATCAAGTTGGACTTGGTCTCACGTGGTCCTGCTCTACAGGCATGGAGCTAAGTACAATCTGACACCAAAACATCCCCACAATGCACCAGCCCCTCCCATTTACTGAGTCCTGAAAGGACTCAAATGGGCAAGTCTTTCGGTTAGAGGATTTTAAGTGAACTTGGCTGGAGACCATCAGCAGAAATCTTGGCTTCTCATATGGGGAGCCCGCCAAGTTTGAGAAGTTGGCTCAACCAGGAAGGGCAGCAGTCCACTGCTCGGTGGAAAGCCTGGGCTGGGGACTGTCAGTCTCAAAGTAGTGGATGGAATTTCTGTGGTAGTTCCAGGCCCAATTTAACTAGCAGAAGAGTGGAATCTTACTTAGACCAATCCCTGCTGCCATGTCCACCTGAGCTGCTACACCTAACTGGAGTCCACTTTAATGCCCTTCAAACAATGGCAAGGATGTCTTTCTTTCTGGTTCTCAAGCTGCATATGTAAAAGCAAGTCAAAAACATGCAGAACGTGACTAATTCCACGCCACTTTGAATTAAATGATATTGCTAGTGGCTTGAACAAGCACACACAGACACAAAAACTGGAAAAACCCTTAACAAGGCTAAGAATTCTCTTTGGGGAATTATTTCCAAACCATAGATCCAGCCAGGCTGATACCTCCCACTCCCAACAACCAGAGTCCTGCTTGGCAGGCTTGTCACTGTCTTCTCTCACTGGCAACCCTTTACCAAAACACCCAAGAACTCAAAGGTGAGAAAAACTGGGTGGAGACAACCATATAAAGTACCTAAAGCCCTCCCACAAACGCAAAACTTTTTTTTATAGAGTCAAACAGTTGGATCTTGAACAAATAAAACTCAACTCAAATAAGCAAGCTTTCTCTTACCTGTACTGGCATATCTGATAAGGAACACGGTGGTACTCAAAGCATGCTTGCTAAGTTTATTAGGCATAGCTCTAGGAGAGAAGATGGGTGTTCCTGGGCTATTCAGCAGGCCCAAGTAGCTCCCCTACAAGTCCTCTAGCAACAGTGGCTGGAGACTACTTGCTCTTCAAGTGCAATGAATTTGAAGTTTCTACCAGAAACCCTGCACAAAGGACTGTTCATATCATTGAAGGCTCCACAAGGCTCCACATCACTGCTTTAGGGCATCCCAGAATAACATAAATACTAAGGAGCTAGTTGGTGTGGTGGTGCACGCCTGTGGCCGAGGCAAGAGGACTGCCAGGAGTTCGAGGCCAGCCTGGGCTCCACAGTGAGTTCAAGGCAAACCTGGACTACAGAGCAGGACCCATCTCAAAATGAAACAAAACCAAACCCAACCAAACAAACCAGAAATACTAAGGAGCCATCTGATACCAAACAGTGGCCTACAGACAGACGCTCACCAGGAACTATGGCACCAAATGGCTTCCAGCTTTGGCATCTCTGCCAAGTTTTTTTTACTTGGCCTGTTTTATTTCTACCGAACATTCCATACCATCAGCAAAACAAAAATCTTCACGTACAATTTGTCCATCTTGGACACTCACAAGTATGTGTACCTTAAGTATGTGACTACAGGTTAAAGGCAAATATTATTTTGTTGTCCGATAAGTTATTAAACTGGCAGTACGCCACTGAGGTTAAAGAGGTTTGTTCAAAATTGAAGGCAATCTCTTAAGATTACTTCCTTTCAAACTCACTGCACAGAAAAATGCACCTTCACTGAAAGCATTACATGTCACCAACCATTTCTACAAATTGTGGGTAAACAGCATGGGGAAATAAAATGTTTCATTATTCAATGATGCACATGGTTGCAAGCTACTAATCCCTCTTAAATGGGGAAGCATCTCAATTTCAATACAGAAAATCCTCAACATACAGAATTTATTACCTGCTATTTACTGCCCTTAAGAAATTTAATGGTTATGCTGGGTCTCGTGGCACATGGTTATAATCCCAGCTACTACAGAGGCTGAGGCAGGAGGATGGTGCAAATTCAAGGCCATCCTGGATTATGTAGCGAGAACCTGTCTCAAAAGACCAAAAGAAGCGCATTTAACATGTGCAAGACCCTGGGGTTCAATACCCCCCTCAAGTTTGCATTTAAGAGGAAAGATACTGTAGTGTGTCACTTATTATTAAGCTACTCTTAGTAAACACTAAGGGCACCAAAAATACAAAGTCTCAAAATCCCATCTGAAAATATTATATTTGATAGATAAGAACCAGACAGAATAACAAGAAGATAATAATTTCAATTTCCCAACATCTCTCCTGCTCGAAGCACATTGCCTGGTATATATTTCTGTCACCTAATGAATACATTTGTTTCTGAGGCTTTTCCTATCTTTTGGTGCCAAGAACACTTGGGAAGGAATATTATTATCTAAATAGGACATATTAAAAGGGTACCTTGAGCAGGAAATTTAACCTGAAAAGCAAATTAGCTTCACTGATCAACTCTTTCACCACTACTGGCATTCTGATAAAGACTTTTAAACACAAGAACACCTTCTACTCAAACAAGCATGCTCAGGAACTAAACCTGGAATTTCTGTTATCACTGTCAACACTAAGCAGAGACCAACTACATGCATTTGCCGTGCAAATGATTCCAGGTAAAACAGATAATTTTCAGAGCAGAGTAAATTCCAATCTCAGAGGCAAACAAATTCATTCCTTTCTGAATACACTGCAATTTCTGAAAAAACAAAGAGCTCCGAAAGGTACAGAAGTGAACTTCACAAATCTGTTTTCAAACCCGATACTCTGTAATCACACCATGTTCGGCTGACATGAAGGACAATAGATAAGGCCACGATTTCCTGACCAACATGTTAATCCCTCATTTCTCATATGCTTTTACTTTCTCACAGAAAGCAAGCAAAAGGAGCCCCCTGTACAAAATATACCTGTTCCAGAAATTTATCGTTAAAATTCAACCTTTTCTCTCCAAGACATGGTAAAAATAAGCTAACATCAGTAGTATTCTGGGAGGTACTAAATAGTTCCGCGTTACTTCCTTTACCAAAGCTCACTGGTCACTGAAGAAGTTGTTTTCCATTTGTACTGGGGAAACAGAAACATTCGTCAAATCAGTTTCACTTTCTGTTAACAGCTGGCCTCACTTTCCAATTCTGTTTCTGCTGAGTATACTGCATTTTTAATGGAGTTAAGGCCTAGATATTGTAATGACATTATAAAACATTAATGAATGTCTCTCTTATAGAACTCACATTTCCCAAATAACTTTTAAAATGTTCCTCTGTAGACTTAAATACATGGCCGTTCATTCTCCACATCTTTTTGCTGAAGCAAAACATGATAGTTTCCCCTCAAATTTAAAAGATGCCAGGTGTGTTGGTGTACACCTATAATCCCAGTACTCTGAGAGGTTGAGGCAGGAAGATCACACGTTTGAGCCCAGCATGGGCAACTGGGAGACACAGTAAGACCTGTCTTTAAAAAAAAAAAGCTGGTGATATAGCTCAGTGTGAAGATCATAGGTTTAATTCCAGTACTGGGAAGGGGGGAAAATATATGCGTGTGTGTATTTTTTTCCTATACTAAATTTCAGGGGGGGAAAAAAAAAGGATTCCTTTTTACCCTACCCATTTGTAATAGTTGCATGATATACTGTAAAACTTGTCTATAACACATCCACTTTTCTCTCCATGCTTCTATGATAATCTTGTGATAGAAAATTAAGTCTCAACAAGATGCATCAGTCTTGAGGACCTAAATTCAATTGTAGCATCAAAAACAAAACAAAATAACAAAGAGTTAAACCTTTGTCTACTTCCCAAAATCAAAGGAAAAAAAATCAGGTGCCTTAACAGCAAACTAAAGACACCTAGACCAAACAAGATAGTATTCTAGGGCTGGGGATTTAGCTCAGTGGTTTGGTGGCCTGCCTTGCAAGCGCAAGGACCCGAGTTCTAAATTCAATTGTAGCATCAAAAACAAAACAAAATAACAAAGAGTTAAACCTTTGTCTACTTCCCAAAATCAAAGGAAAAAAAATCAGGTGCCTTAACAGCAAACTAAAGACACCTAGACCAAACAAGATAGTATTCTAGGGCTGGGGATTTAGCTCAGTGGTTTGGTGGCCTGCCTTGCAAGCGCAAGGACCCGAGTTCAATCCCCAGTATAGTAAAATAATGTATATCAAACCCATCTGGAAGAGAAATATATTTTGTTGTTTTTGTGACAGAGTCTTGCTATGTAGTCCAGGTGGCAATCCTCCTGCCTCAGCCTTCTGAGTGCTGGAAGTACAGGTATATGTCACCATACCTGGCTCTATGGATGAGTATTTTGAAAAGAAGGAAGCTTTCAAGAACTATGAGCTAAAATGTCTCTCTCCTTGGAAAGCCAATATGATTCCAAATAGAAAGAAATGATTCTGGCTTGTGGAGGTTCACACCTGTAAACTTAGCACTCAGAGAGTCTGAAGGAGGAGGATCACAAGTTCAAGCCACTCCTGGGCAACTTAGTGAGACCTTGTGTCAAAAAGGAATGGTTCTACAAAGTAAGTCTTAGCAATCCTTACCCTCCAACTCTAAAACCCTAATCAAACCTAGGAAGAGGGAAGCAAATTTTACAATTGGATACCTGGAGCAAAAAAATAAATAAATAAAAGTAAAAAATAGACCGGGCCCCAAACATTAAGAATAACAGTAACTGAAATAAAGGACTGCAATTTCCAAATATATGTATAACTGTTAAGTACATGACAATACTTCAGAAGGAAATGAAGTAAAACGAATTATTTTTTAGTAACTATTGCTAAGGGACAATCTTTAAAATCTTGGAACTATATCCTTGGATTTTATAGAAATATCAGCTCTCAATACATAAAATTTTCCTTAATGCCCAACTGCTTGGACAACCTGTACAATCTCTGCTCTAATGAAAAGGGTACAATTTAACTGAGCTTGGCTTTATTCAATGATTACTAATTCTTATGCCAGAGATATCCATGTGGCATCCTGCAAACTAGTAAGCCACCAAACACATGTTCCAAACACCATTTTAAACATTAGAAAAATGTACTGGGGGATAGCTTGGTGGTACAGTGCTTGCCTAGCTTGTGCAGAGCCGAGTTCAATCCTTAGTAGAGGGAAAAAAACAAAAGGAAGACTTGGCAACACGGAGCCCTCACTCCCGTACCACCTGTGGGGCTGAATGGTGGCTGCCTTTTCAGAAGTGGTACACACTCTTCAGTCCCAGTCCTCTACTTTCTCCCTGACTAACTCACTGCTGCACCCCGTAGACAAATGAATTTACCATCCCACTCTACACATTTCTTATTGATCCCAACTCTTGACACACTTGTTTCTCTTCGATTCTGATTTGTCATTTTTTCTCTAATCTATACCCACATTCCTGCCTCAGACTACAAACAAAAGATCGGTATCTATTTAAATCTACCATACCACCTACTGGGAATATTAGCATCAAACGTTGAGAAATTATTGATAACACTACAGGGTTTCATCCATCACCTTTAAGCAAAGCTGTCTCTGCAATCCCACTTTTAATAATCTGTTTTCTTTATCTCTCTCTTCCGAGCTAGACACTGAGAGTCAGATCAGAAGCTGTGACACTTTCACGATTTGACCTTTAGCTCCATTCTATTTCCAATTTTTGCATTAGTACACTATGTTGTGCATATTTTGATAGATTCTATAGGTCTACAGCAGTCACATGACTTGGTTAAAGACGATTAGTGCATGTGGCTTCAGCTTCACACAACTATCCAAATATGGTTTAAAACCCACTTGTTCCTAAATAAATCTTCTAACCACTTTGCCCTGACATAATACTATCATTCACTTCAGCAGGCTTTACTTTTCATGACTCACTTACATAGTAGCAGCTGGATCCCTCATCTGAAAACTGCCAAACAATTCATTTCTTTGCATACAGCTCCTCTCACCTACTCACTAGAATTTACCACCTGAGAATCATGAGATTTGTAAATTCCCCTCCCCCAGCCCTTGAAGCCCCCACCTCACTTTAGCTGTTAAGTTTACTATAATATTAAAAGTGATCTCTTTTCCTCTGAACCCAAAAAGATCTAAAACTGAACAGAAATGAAAATGAAATGGAGAGTAGGAGACGTACCGCAGATTGAAACCTCGGTTGCTCTTCCTGAAATAAGAGAGAAAAAAAAATAGAAAATATAGACGTTATTTTTACACATCGCATTCAATAATAAGAAAGAAAATGCCGGCGGCGGAGGAAGCGCGGTTGGGGAGTCAGCCCGACAACCCCCCTTTCCCCCTACCCCAGCCAGCGGGATCCGATAGCCGGGTAGGGGTCCAGAGCGCCGCCCCTCCTCCCGGGATCCGACCCCGGCCTCAAGAGGTTCGGAGCCAACATTTCCTCCCCTCACATCCAGCTTGGGCATGGGGCGCTCCTAGCCCCTTCTCCTTCCTCCCTCACCCCCAGGATCCGCGGGTCACGGAGGAGGGGATCGCAGACCCCGGGGCAACTCTCGAGCGCCTTCCCCTTTCCAGAAATCCGGACAATGAGATCCCGGGCGCACTCCACCCCAGTCCCCGAATTCTGAGCAGGGCAGGGCGGAGCGGGAGGCCGCAGCACCCTCCTCCACAGGAGGAGATGGGGGTCCCGGAGGTCGAGCGTCTGCATCCCACCTCCAACCCCAGGAGGCCGCCCCAGCCAAGAGCCCGGAGCGGCGCAAGCACTAACCGCGTCGCTGGCGGTCCCAGCCCTGGGGGAAGGGGAAGGGGAAAGGGAAAAGGAAGGAGGAGGCGGCGGCCGCGAGCGGGAGGCCGCAGCACCCTCCTCCACAGGAGGAGATGGGGGTCCCGGAGGTCGAGCGTCTGCATCCCACCTCCAACCCCAGGAGGCCGCCCCAGCCAAGAGCCCGGAGCGGCGCAAGCACTAACCGCGTCGCTGGCGGTCCCAGCCCTGGGGGAAGGGGAAGGGGAAAGGGAAAAGGAAGGAGGAGGCGGCGGCCGCGCCC